TACTCGAAAATCCCAGCGACTGCTGCTGTAGTGTATGGGGTAGGGCAGGTTTGTATCCAAATGTGGGTGTTAAAGAAGGATGGGGGAGGGGGGAAGGCGGAGGATTGGAAGTGACCGGCTCTGGAGAAAATTCAAGCCAGTGAGGAAGAGCTGAATAAAATTCCTGCCATGTCATTTTTCTCCCAAGTAATGACCTGAGTAAAATTCAATATGACCGAGCGAACTATGTGAGCGTATTATAGAAACGGCCTGCTAGTGGGAGAGGCCGGGAGAGGGGTGAAACGTAGGTCACGGCGTCTAACAGATATTAAAATGTTCAGGAGACTCGTGACACGCCTAGCTGTTTAACAAAGACTGCCAAAGTATGAGATTAATACGAAAACTTGCAGCTTCAAAAACAAAACACACCCCAAAAAAAGGTCGTATTCTAGCCTCGGAGGGGTCCTGGGACTGACTGGTTCTCCTCACAGCAGCGGTTCCGTCCGCCTCTTCCACAATAGTGGAAAAGGAGAGCTTATCTTATCGAGAAAAGAGAAGGGAGGACCTAAACCGACAGCTGTGAGTATTCCTGACTCTCTTTTCAGTCTTTCTTCTGCCCCCTCCCCTCCGATCCCCTCTCTTTGCCTTTCCCCCGAAGCTGAGCTGGGCTGTGGAGGGGTGTTGGAGCAGTTGCGCAGAGGTGGAATGGCTAGCACCGCTTGGCCCCCCTCTCCAGTTGACATAAGGTACATCTGTTGGAGGAGGCGTCGAAGCGGGAGAGAGGTCACGCTCTCAACCTGTGGCTTTCGGAGAGAGGTGCAAGAGGAGAAGCGCGAGGGTACGCGCTCAAAGACTGAGGGAGATGGACACTGGCCCTTTAAAAACGTCAAGAATTATTTTCTGGAGTGAGCCTCTATCTCAGACGAAATAGGTTCTAAGAGTTACTTTCTTTCCTTCTCTTGTGCGTGTTGGGATTGTGCGTGCGGGTCAAGAGGTGTGGGGGAGGCCGGGAATCATCTTGGCAGGTGTCTAGTCCTAGGAGGGAGTACAACAGGCTTAACAGGCTTCATGACCAGGCCCTAAGTTCCCTTCATCTCACTCGTTTTTTTTTCTTACTGTGCGGTTGTCACGACCAAAAGCGGAGGTTGAGTCTCACTCCCTAAGCTCCCTGGAGTGAAACCGGAGGGGATGCAATCTCCCTCGCTCCCCCAGCCGGTTCCCCTTTTGAAATGGAGAACGGTGGAGATATCCCAGCTGCAGATCCGTCTTCCTAAACTTCCGAATCGCCGACGGGTTTATGAGCAAAGGGCCTAGTTGAAAAGGAAAGGAGATATGGGGTGTGGGGAATGGGCCAAAGAAGGTGAGGATTGAGGACCAGGACTGATGGGGGCCTTGGAGTCTAGTACAAGACAGAGCATAGTTTCTCATGAGACTTCGAAAGGTCCATGCTAGACGCTAGGGGTGCTGGAGATGTTCCTATCATTTTCCTTTTGTCTGCTGTCCAGAGTAAACTCAAATATCCCTGCATCTTCCGGAGCAAATTGTTACCTAAATAATCTGAGTTTGAAAAAAGCAGTAACAATCACTACCTTTGTAGCCATTGGTGTTAAATGGGTCTAAGGAAAAGCATGATTAAATAATGTTCCTTAGGGTTATAATGATGTCACGTGGGGAAGAAAGAGACAGGAGAATTGCAAACTCTTGGATTTGAAATTAGGTATCTAAAACGAGAGAGAGAGAGGGGCGAGCAATTCCAATCCTGTCTTATGTGAGTCTCCCAGTATACCAAGTCAGAGGCTTTGCCTTCTGAAAACGCAGTAGTTCCCTGAGTATTTATTAAGAAGGGGTATTATTGTTGTTATTGTTGCTGTCCTCATTTGGAGAACACATTTTCCCAGGCTCACGGACTGTGTAGAGAATGTAGTGTTATAATATGGACATTTTAGGCAATGAAGAGGGCTTCCAGTCACCCTCCAAATTCCCCATACCTAGTAAAGATCTACAAGAAGATTGGAGAATCACCTGGGAGGTAGGGGTGGAAAAAAATAGTATTAAATTCCCTCTAATGCATTGATTCTTAACCGTATCATGTGCCCTTTGGCAGTCTGCTCAGACCAATGGACCACCTTACAGAATAATGTTTTTAAACAATTGAAGGAAATAATAAATTCTAGTTAGAAATTAGTGAAAATAAAGATGTATTTTTTCCCCATCCAAGTTCACATACTCCCTGAAATCTAGTCATTCATTCTTTGGGGATTTGTAGACCCCAGGTTTAGAACCTCATCTCTAATTAAACTCGGTCCCCTGAATCTCTTTGCTTGAGAGCCTATCCTCTTAGTGGAATTTGGGAAAGGGCTGAAGACAATTTGCAGATCATTTCAATACCTGCTCTACTCTCCCCCTATTTCTTTCCCTCTGCTGGACCTCTTTTCTGCCAAGCAGCCAGGTGGCTTGAATGCAGGGCATTTTTAGACATCAGTGACGGGATTGGGTGCGGGCCTGGAGCTGGGAAGTCAGAGACCTCTCTCTCCTCATAGAATATTCTTTCTCTTTACTCAGTTCTCTTCCAAATAGAGAAGGGCGGGAGTTGCCGCATCATCTGGTTGAATATTTTATTGTTTTACATCGCCCCTAGTTCGGAAATGGAACGCCTTTGATCTTTTTCTCAGGTTGTAAACAGAATTGCCCATCATTAAATACCCGCGGCCCCATCTGCTTCACCTCCTTGCCTTTTTCTTTACAGCTGTTTCTTCCTTTTTACAATAGACTTTTTCTTAAAAGGACTTTAATGACACCCTCTCCCCTTCCACTCTATCGCCCCTTAGTTCCTCTTCTTTCCTCTGAGAAGCGCCAGAGAAAATAACTATCGAGTATTCGTTTGTTTGAGAGCTACAGGATGAAACGGGAGAAGGGAGCCCTAATTATTCTGTGTGTAGGAGCTGGTGTTTTGGGGAGTTTTTTGTCTTCTGTTTTTTTTTTTTGAAATAAAAAGTCCTTTGGGGGCGGGGGACGAGAGGGAGGGAAGCCAAAGGGAATAAATTTTGACTTTGCTCCTCAGCCTTTGGGTGACCCTTCCTTCTTTTGTACTTAGCCAATGTTTACGTCTCATAATTCATGCGCCTGGTTGTTGAACAGCTTAAGGTCTTAGCTCGCGCGCATTTTCGGAATCAGCCGCATCTATTTCCAGGGGTTGGAAGAGGAGTGACACCCCATATTACAGGCTAAGCGAACCGCCCCGCCGGGTCCTCACAGAGCTCTGCTCTGTCCTCACCTCTCAAAGAAACAGGCGAAAAGCCAAACCAAACCAGACCAATCGCTATCCCAGCCCCCCCAAAACAAAACAAAAACAAACAAACAAACAAAAAAAAACCGAAGACCGTTCTCAGAATAAACGAACTGAAGGATTTCTATGCCAAGAAGATCTCTCTGTCTTCTGTATATACCCTGTAGATCCGAATTTGTGTAAGGAATTTTGTGGTCACAAATTCGTATCTAGGGGAATATGTAGTTGACATAAACACTCCGCTTTTTTTTTCCCAGAAGAGAAAATAAAAATTCTAGAATAAAGAGGATCCAGTGATGTGACCAGAAGGGCGCTCTTTTTCTATAAGTCCTGAGTACCTATGTCTCTATCTTTCTCGCTCTCTCTTTCCTTATTGGAGTAGGTTTTTATCTACCTGAGATCTCAGCTCCTTGCCCTGGGAAACCCACGCAGCCTGGCTCCTTCACTCTTTTTTACCTCTTTCTAGCTTTCTCAAGAGACCAGAGTTAAAAAAGAACTCTCTCTCCACCCCCCCTGCCCCCGCACACACCTATATATTATGTATATGAATGGGGGGGCAGCATCAGGGATAAAAACTATCAAACGACTGAGGCTGTTGACTTGGAAAAGGAAAAAGATGGGAGCCGGTCTCCTCAATATGTATTTCTTTCTAAAGGAAGCTTGGGATGGGAAAGTAGGTGTCTCTTCAACTTTCAGCTCAGAACGAGATGCTGCTATTTAAACACAATTGATATAAACAATTATAAAAGACGGGGGGGGGGGGAGAGTGTCACCCTTAGGGCTTCAACAGACCAAATCAAACTCAATATTAGCATTCCTGTCCACACTATTGCTAGTCCTAAATCAGTACTTCTCTGAGAGATTGTTAGTACTTCTCAGATGTAGCTGATATTAACAAATTATTGCTCGTTTAATGCTCAAAGGTCCTGATTTTCATATTCAGCCCCCTCTTTTCTTTCTCAGAAGAAGGGAGCTTCTTGATGCTGGAGTAAGGTGGGAGAGTGAGGGGTGGGAGGGGTGGGAGAAGTGGGGGCAGAGGGACAGACTGACAAGATCAGCTTAATAGAGCAGCTAAATGCGATTTGGAAGGCGAGGTATCCCCGAATTAGTGGATGAATTTCCTATCGATCCGCAACCGATTCAATTCATCTCTGCCAAACCCCTCAGCACACCCGGGCGGCTCCGACTCCTTGTCTCTCCACCATCACCACCACTCCTTTCCCACACCCCTTGGAAATAGAAGAGAACTCAGCCGGAGAGACACCTTCCCAATTCTCTTCCCTACCTCCTGACTGAACTGCCCTCTCTAGGAAGAATCTATCCCCCTCCCCCATTTTTCTTTTTAAGATGTCAGCTAAAAGCTGCCAAAAAATCCCTCCTGCTCCTTAAGGTGAAAGACAATTTGGCAGGGTGGTCAGGGCAGAGAGAGAACCCTTCATCTTAGAGGGGAAGCTTCAATGGGGGGTGCTCCCTTCACCCCCAAATTCTCCCTGTTTGCACCCAGTCCCTCAGGGACCCTGAAGAAGGAGAGAAAGAAGGGGAGGAGGTCGCATACGCATTGGCCCTATGTAAATACTGGTGATGGGGATGAGGGGGGGAGAGCAGAAGGGGGGAATAAAAAACCCTCTCTGTGTTGCAGCTCTTTGGCTAGAGTAGGGTCCGGGTGAACAGATTTCCTTATCCGGGAATCGCCGCCGGAGCGGCTATTGGCTCGGGGGATCACGTGGCCCCCTAACTTAGTTCACTTGACAGTAAGTAGGTGGGCTTTCGGAAACAGGAAAACGAGTCAGGGATCGGAATAAATTTTAGTATATTTTGTGGGTAATTCCCAGAAATTAATGGCTATGAGTTCTTTTTTGATCAACTCCAACTATGTGGATCCCAAGTTCCCTCCCTGCGAGGAATATTCACAGAGCGATTACCTACCCAGCAACCACTCGCCCGGGTACTACGGCAGCGGCCAGAGGCGAGAGAGCAGCTTCCAGCACGAGGCGGGGTACGGGCGGCGGGCGGCTTGCACCGTGCAGACCTATGCGTCCTGTCAAGAGCCCGGCCACCCGCCGCCGACGGTGCTGTCCCAGAGGGCTCCAGTCCAGCCGCAGGCAGGGGCCCTTCTCCCTGAGCCGGGCCAGCGCTGTGAGGCGGTCAGCCCCAGCCCCCCGCCACCGCCCTGTGGTCAAAACCCTCTTCACCCCAGCCCATCCCACTCCTCTTGCAAAGAGCCCGTAGTCTATCCCTGGATGCGGAAAGTTCACGTGAGCACCGGTAAGTGACTGAAATGCACTTTCCTTTCCACACCCCCTTTTTCTTCCCCCCCAACACTTTATACTGAGCTTTATACTGAGGGGAACCTCCAAGTCGTAGGGAGGGGTAGAAGAAGGGGGAAAACCAATTGCCCCCGTTGTAAAATCGCCATTCCGGGAGATTTACTGTCGCCTATTTTCAGAGCCATATAATTACATCCCCCATAAATTTTTATGGCCTGCTTGGCCCCGCGCCTTTGAAGTCAGTTCCTCATCCTCTGCGCGATTCTCACCAGCGACTTTTTCTCCCGGGAGGAGCAGCTTTAAGTGAAGTTTGATGTCGGGGGTGGGGGCTATGGGTAGGAGGAAGGGGGGGGACCCAGTAATTTGTATTTAAGTAGTGGATTGAGTCAACTTGGTGTATTTATTTTTCCCTTTCCTCTCCTCGCTTCCCATCTCCTTGGTCTCGGCAACTAGGCAAAAGTTTCTCCCCAGCCAGGCGCCGCCTGGAATCTGAGAGTTGGGAAAGAGGAGGGGGAAAAATTTAGAGAAACCTCTAGACCCCCCCCATCCCCTCCGTCCCTGCCTTGGCCACACTCCTTCAACCAGGGGCAGCTAGACTAGAAGATAAGGGTACGGACTGCAGCCAAGTGAAGACACTTCCTCACTCTCCCCCACAAAACTTTGAGGTTCCGCCTCCCCTTCTTCCTATGGGAACACTCTTACTTCTCTTTTACGGAGGTTTCCCTCCTCCCACTGCCCCATGGTTGGATGGTGTAGGGAGATGGGAGATGGTGTGTGTTTGTGTGTACAGAAGGAACTTCACCCCTCCTCTCCAGGGTAATAAAACTTTCTTTTTCTTCCTTTTTTGTGTTTGTCCAGTAAATCCCAATTACAACGGAGGGGAGCCAAAGCGCTCCCGGACAGCTTACACCCGCCAGCAAGTCTTGGAGCTGGAGAAGGAGTTTCACTATAACCGCTACCTGACCCGGAGGCGGAGGGTGGAAATCGCTCACTCTCTCTGTCTCTCTGAGCGCCAGATAAAGATCTGGTTCCAGAACCGCCGGATGAAATGGAAAAAAGACCACAAATTACCCAACACGAAGATCCGATCAACCACGCCGGGGTCATCTGCAGGGGCCCAAAGTCGAGCCAATGCAACCCCCACCTCACTATAACGCTCCTTGAGGGGAGACCTTGGATTTATGGGGGTGGGAGTGGAGATTGGTGGGAGGGTGAGGAGGGAGGAGAAAAAGTGGGAGGGCAGTGGTGCTTAAGACCAGGAAATTTTGTCTCTGCAGAAAAAATAACAATAATAATAATAATAAAGAGAGAGAAGAAGGGGGGAGGGGAATCTTATTTATAGCAAGAACAGAAGAGGGAGCAGAAGTGACCCCCAGAAGCACAGAGTTCGTGGCTCTTGTTTTCTTCCTTTTTTTCTTTTTTGAGAAAAAAAAAGAGGTGGAGAAGAATGCTACAGATACTAGTTTTCAGATTTGGAGAAGATGGATCCATGTTTCATCTTTAATCACGCCAACCTCAGGCCCATTTGTCATGCTCAGTCTGCCGGAGAGAGGACGGACTCTGTGCCTGCCATTACCTCGACAACCAGCGCTCCCGCTAACAAATGAGGCTCTTTCTTGAAGACAGACTGGATTTTCTGCCCCCCACCCCCATCCCTTCCGAGGCATCCAACGAAAGCATACCCAGACAACCAGATAGAGCAGGGGTTTTTTGTTTTTGTTTGTTTGTTTGTTTTGTTTTGTTTGTTTTGCGACGGTTAAAGAAAAAAAATTCTGACTCACTTAGAGCCCCCACCCCCACCCCAGCTACTATTGCTCAGTATGATGTCTGGTAACTCTCCTTCCTACATGTTGTATAGGATGTGATCTGAGAGTGCTGAAGGGAGGAAGGAAAGAGAGGGAATGGAAAGGCCAGGGATGAGGGTAAGGGTGAGTGACATCACTGCACCAAGAAGGGAAATTAAGGCTGAGGGGGGGGAAAAAGGAGACTAAGAGAATGTAAAGTGCGTTTGCAACCCCTGCTAAAGGAAGGCATTGGCAGGTTAATTACCTTGCTTGTGAATGCTAGGAACCTGTTTAGCTTAGTAACATTGCCCTAAGACACAAGGACCCTGGAACTCTGATTTCTCTCTTTCTGAGAGGCTCTTCCTGAGGCAGGGGCCTCCTCTTATAAACAGTCAGTCCGTTTTCCGACCGAGAATGTGACCCAGCAACCAGAACTCTGTGCCCCGGTCTGTTGGGAAGAAGGTGCTCTGGGCCTTCGGACAGTTTGTTGTTGTCGTCTTCTCGTCGTTTTTTTTTTTTAATTATGATGATGATGATTAAGACTATGAACATTTTATTTTATTTTGTGTGCGTCCTCTTTGTGTTCTCTTCCTGACATTCCAAATCATTCCTGTTGCAAAGCCAACTAGCTCCCTTCGGGAGCAGAAAGATACCTCTATGGCAGTCAGTGTGAAATTTCCCATGGCGTGTTCATAGTGAAAATAGAAATAAATTTTGGTTCCCTTGTGACTAGCTTGGCTGTGTTTTTGTTAAAGCCTTGATGTAACTTTAAGGATACAGGTGATGTGACCTATGCTAGAAACTGCATGCTATGCATATTAGGGTAGGCCAAAGATGTTTCAAGATGCCCGATAAATACAACCTTTCTAGTTCAGTTGAACCCAACTAACAGTAGTCAGCGTTTGTTGTTTCTCTCTCTCTCTCTCTCTCTCTCTCTCTCTCTCTCTCTCTCTCTCTCTCTCTCTCTCTCTCTCTCTCTGTTAGTATGCACTCGTGTTTTGTTTGGATTTTATTTCCTTACCCAGAAATTGGTCAGGAGGGCCAAGTCATCTCTCTAACTAGGGGGTGGTTAAAAACGATTAATGGTACAGCACAAGAAACTTAAATCCTGCTAAGACTTTAATACCATTATTTATTTGTTCTAAGCACAGAGAATGTTGTTCTATGGACTCACTCCCAAAAATCTTCACTTTGGAGACTAAAGTTTCTAAGGTAGTGAGACAGTTCCCCCAAAGAGGCAAGCTTCCCTTCCTCCGACTTGGGAAGGTACCTCTCTGGTACTATTCTCCTCCGAGGTGTTTAACGCCTTAATGAGTCTAATTTTTTGCACAGATGTTTCTCGGTGTTTGCAGGTTTTCGGAGGATTTTTATATTACAAAGGAGCCGGCTGGTGCCATAGCTCAAACTCTGACAAGCAAATAGATAATCAAGAAGACGAATGGCCTCTTTTGTGAAGCTCCTCTCTTGTATTAATTTTCATTTTCTTTCTCATAGAAAGTATCGAAACAGAGACTGGGGGACCAAATAGCATTGGGGCTCTGAGGGTCCTCTTGCCCCCAGACTGTGTGTGTGTGTTTTTTTTTTTGAGTGGGGAGCTATGGAGAAGGAGGACAACAATTGATTCTCTAATGTAATGTCCGGGGACACAGCCTTGACTTATGGAGGGCGTTAATTCCTATAGTCAGTCCTTACTATGACCTCCCAGTCCTTGCTATAGCTAAGGTCGCCTACCATTCCCCAAGAGGAAGTTAGTTATTTCAAATAGAATTGTTACTTTGCAGCATCTTCTTTAGTCCAATAAAAGCCCCTAACTTCCTCCCCTGGTGTGGTGTGTATAACTGAATCATCTGGAACCCTGGGGTTTGGGAGTTGGTGGGCAAGAGGGCCCAGTACAGTCAGCCAGGCTTGGGAGGTTTGATGGCTCACGTTTGGTGGCCTAGGGGACCGAATGTTCGAACTGGCCCGGCTTTATCTGGCCTGCACTGAGACAAAAAGGAAACTTTTCTCCGTGCTGAGGATGAGAGGGAGAAGCTTTGTTTCGGCTAGAAACGAAATGCTGGGTTTAGATGCTCGGAGATGCAGCCCTTAATGCTAAAAAAAAAAAAATAGTTGTTAAAAAGCATATGCCCCCCAGGAATGCTCCTCTATAGAAGCGAATCAAAGCTGTCCCCTGGAAGGTATGAATAGAATCGTAGGGGGAAAAAAGGATTTCTATGGGACCTAAAGTTCACAGCCATTCTGTGTAGACAAGAGCTAAGAAAAATGCGAGAATTATACAGAAAACCATTAATCACTTCTTTTCTTTAAATACGTATCCTCTCTCCTTTGTTATTATTCCACAGCAAATCTCCGCAGACCGTCTGTTGGGGGAAAAAAGTGTTAGCCGCCTCTCCAGGATCTGCGAGGGGGAAAAAATTTGGAACCGTAAAGTTGAAAACTTTTTTCTCTCAGTTTGGAAGAAGGCGGTCAGCATGAATGGGACCCGTGGAGCCCAAGCGAGAGGAGAAGAGAGACCCAAAGGTAACAATGCGGTGTCTTTGGCTGGCGGGTTTCTGATGGTTTTATGAGCCCTTCTAACAAATCAGTTGAAATAAGAATCTCCCTTCTTCTTCTTTTTTTTTTAAGTATCTGAGCTGAATTTTTTTTTAATGGTGTCAGCTTAGTACAGTTTGGTTTCTTTTATTTTGACGGATACTTTGGGGAAGGCAAAACTTGACAACTGGAAATTGTTTGAACAGACTGGAGACTGAGGTGTCAGGACCCCTGAAAAATCAGAGAGAGAGAGAAAGTTGTATGAGGTGGTTTCGGTGATTTCTGGTGTTATGGTTTTCAGGCTTGGCTCAGAAAATGCATTTATGCATGTGTATATGATATATATGTATATATACATTTTCTCACACAGAGACATAAGCATGTGTATATACATACATATTTATATCCATACATAGCTTCTAGGAATCCACACAGAGGCATGTGTATGTATGTGATTTTTCCTTTGTTTACCCTTTGAAAACAGAAATCTTAGCTGTTCTGTCACTGATTCCTTAATATGGATCTGAGTCAAAATGTTAATTTACTGATTTCTCTGCTTTGTATGTGTGTGTTTTGATATTTCAATAAACTGTGTTCATCTCTAGAAAAAAGAACTGATTAGTTCACAGGAGAGGCTGTTATTCGGCTGTTGAATACCACTCCTCCTTTTTTTCTTGAACAAAAAAAAAGGAAAGGAAAAGAAAAAAAGCATTTATTAAGTTCTAAGGATACAAACACGCACATAAGAAAAAAATAAAGACAGTCCCTGTCCTCAAGAAGCTTTCATTCCAAAAGGATTCCCATCCCCTCTCTCCTTCTCCTTCTAGGCCTTCTTCCTTATTACTTTTTTTTTTTGGAGGTTCAAAGTTATTTTGGAGGCCAAGTCTCTGGGAAGGGAGAAACAAATAAATTTGCTAGTCAAAATTTGGGGCTGCTTTATCAGTTTGCATAGATGAAGAAAAAGAGAAGAGAAGGAGGGAGGGAGGGAGGGAGGGAGAGAGAGAGAGAGAGAGAGAGAGAGAGAGAGAGAGAGAGAGAGAGAGAGAGAGAGTTCATGGAGAGGCCACATTTTCTAGGCGATTAGCTCAGTATTATAACCAGAGAATGACCTCGGAAGCCCCTTGACCTCTCTGAGACTGGACATTGTGCTGTGTAACATCTCCAATCCAGGACAGGGAGGAATGGAGGGAGATTCACCCCTCCAGATGGAGAGAGGAGGCTTCTGTTGGAGTATAGAACAGCTTTCCCTACCATTGCTACCTCCCATCTTCATTTCTACTATTTTAAAAATCCTCTAGTAGTATGCCTTGGCTATTTTTCTTCACTGAGGAAAGTGATTAAAATTATTTTTAGCTGGAGAGGTACAAGTGGAGGAAGGAAGAAAGAAGAGTCTGTCTATATTCCTTCACCATATCTTTTTGCCTTAGCATCTCTGCTCCAGAGGGTTTGTCTCTTTCCCTCCACTCACTCCCCCCTCCCCATTTTCCCTGTGCTTTGCATGAAAGAAGAGCTGGGAGGAAAGACAAAGACAAAGGGAGGAGAAATGGGGGCAGAGGCAAGCAGGCCTCATAGGGCCAAGGGATAAGGAACACCTGGGTTCCTCTCCTGATCACAATATTGCAGCTTTTTCACAGCACACAACACATTCTCAGAAATCCCTTTGTTCAGAAGCTATGCCCTTTTTTGCCCATAGGCCTTTGCCTTCTTTGAGTCCTCTCCTTTCATAAACATCACCCTACACACAATTAACATGTCCTGATTCCTTGCCCAGGGAAGCTTTGGGGGGAAGATAGGAAGTGGAGACCTTCTCTTTGTGGCAAGTTGTTCTAGATAGGTCCTCAGACCAGGTGAAGAATCTTCTAAAAGAGAAGCCATAGATTACCAGAAAATAACCAAGCCTTAGGAACATGAATATAGCTTCTCAGAATACCACAGGGGGTGTATGTGCTCAAAAGCCACCTGAAGTAACCTGGCTCCTTAGAGAGAGACAAAAACTAGCCTGGGCACAGAGAATGATAGAGACTGGAAGCTCAAATAGACTAGGGACCATTTGCCTTAGTTGGGAGTATGATGGTAGGAATTTGATGGTAGAAGTTCCTTGATTTGGGGAGTCTGCTGTAGATTCTTCTCTGCACCCATGTGGGGAAGGAGCCTGGCAGTAATCTTCATTTAGCAATCCCTCTCCATCATGGCTACTTGAGACCTCCTCAGAGTTTCAGATCAGCAACCAGTGTTTGAGGCATGGGGTTGGGATCGGAATCAAAGAACAGGCTCCCTGCTAGGACTCTAACTCCTCTGATCTAGGCCTCACCAACAACAAACTACAGATAGGCTTAAAGACAGAATCCACAAAGAGACTCCACACAGAAGCAAGGCAGGCAGAGAGAGAGGGACCTGCAGCTATACAAAGTAACACAAAAATCACATGAGAGATGGCAAGGAGGAGGATGGTGTGAGAAAACCCCAATGGGTCCCCTTACATGGTCTGGGAACCCAGAATCGGGGGGAAAAAAAGAACCAATATGGCTTCAGAGATTTCCATTTCTTGGGAATCTTAGGATGACCAGGCTTCTTTTTTCTTGGTCTGGTTTCTCCCTAGGTTGGGATTACAATAGCCTCCCCCTCATTTCACCCCATTAACAAAGGAACACCTCAGTTTCTTTCCCTAGTTGGAAAGGATAAGCTGCTCTGGCAACTCAGGCTTGGGACCATCCTCCCTCAGGACACTTCCCACTTCAGATCCAGGCAGGAATCTCAGCGCCCACTTGGCTTCCTCCAGTTTTTTTTTTAATCTCCTCTCCTTCCCCTGCCCCAAATTCTTCTTCATTCCTGACACCTCTCCCACTCTAGTCCCTGTACACCAGTCTAGGCAATCCAAGGGGAAACAAACCGAGATTGCAGAAAGGAAGGTACGAGGGTCGAAGTCAGGAAGGGCTGTGGATTTGGGCTAATGGGGAGAAGCTGAGCAGGCCCAGTGCAAAAGGTCTTCACGAGTCTTCCTGAAAAGCTTCGGCTTCGGGAAGGATCTGCCTGGAACACAGAGTTGGGAAGTTTCCCAGCGTGAGTTGAGCGCTGACGGATTTGTGATAGCCCATAAAATCGGCGCGTTCAGATCCGTAAATCAATCTCTTCTCTCAGCTATATAATCGTCCGTTTTATCGGCCGGGAGAAACCGCTCAGCTTGGAACTGGGCCGGT